TACTTTCAAAATAGAAACTTAAGAATACTTTACATCGGGATTTCTTAAATTTTTTCCAGTCGCGACCCCCATTTATCACTGAGATTTTTTCGCAACCCCCAGGACTCCATAATATTTACAAAAATTTTTTGGGACCCCCATAAGTATTGCGAAAATCCGACACAGGCATGAGTGAAACTGTCAATTTTTTCACTTGTACTGTAATATACTATTGCAGTTTTAGGTCATTAACTTTAATTTCTAATTTTAAGACATAGAATAATGTGAAAATTTTAAAAAAGTAACAGACGAAATGACAGCGTCACGTGCAAAGCAAGGAAAATGAACTTTTATGTTATAAAAAGAATGCGTCGAATAGTTTTTTTTTCCTTTGTCTGTATTGTCTTATCTTTATCTGTTTTCAGATACATAGTGTAAAAATATTTGGTAATTGTAAAATTATTATAATAAGTTAAAGAAATATCAAAAGTGCTAAATTTTTGGCGACCCCTGCTGCAGGTCCTGCGAACCCCTTGGGGGTCGCGACCCACAGTTTAAGAAACCCTGCTTTACATGATAAAGAACGTAACCTATCGCGTGTGTTTTCAAGAATGATGTTACATTTTCTTTTATTTTATTATAAGAAATATAATATGATTGATAAATAAATAGTTTGTAAGCTTAGAAACAATTTAGGCATAGGAAACAAATATAGATTTTCTTATTGACTAAACAAAAGAGCACTTAAATTGTCGAGCACTTTATTTACAAATTTCTTAGCTTTTCCTTCTTTTAATGCGCAAAAGTACTGCTCAGGTACTTTGAGCCCAGGTGCATCGCTTATGTGCTTCGCGTTCATGTGCAACCTAGCCTTCAAATAAAGATCTGATGAAAGCTTTTTTATATCAGTTTTTAACATAAAGGCGCAGTTTGCCCAGAAGGGCTATTAATTTCGTTTTGGCATCTTGCGTTGGTTGACTATAAACGGTGTTTCACTTTTCAAATGGTTGCCACCAGATATTAGAGCCCAGCATTATACTTAAAGAAATTAAATAATGAAAAATCTGCATGAATGTATGTATGTTTCTCGCACTGTGAAACGACAACGGTACCTAGAAACATCAAATTTTGAATAACGTGGTCCTCCACTCGAATATGGGCATCTGGAAGCCCAAATTTGGAGTTTGGAATTTGTTCTGTTATATATTTCATATTTTGTAAAACTTTAACGAATTTTTTCTATACTTTAACGAAATAGTTGAAAAAAATTCAACTATTTCAAAACGAAATTATTCAATGGCAACACTGTACCGAAAAAATAATTATCTCCAGCGCGCGAGACTGTGTATCGTAAATTCTAAAGATATGCTCTTTTTAATTTTTTTTTTTTTTTTTTTTTGTGATACTGCTGTTGAATTGAATTTTATGGTTTAGATGCGAAGAATATGATATTCAATAAATAAAGGTAACACACAAAACGTTAGAAAAAACGCTCCTTTGGGCGTAATATAATATCTGAAAGCTTTCAAATTATTTTTTATTTCTTACTTCATTCTTTTAAAAAATGTCTTCCTTAAAGATAAACCTTCTTGCGAGTAGACTGCTTTATTTCAATAAGTTAATCCTCAACCCCTTTTGTACTTTTGATGTATTAGTTAGCAGATATAAAAATAAATATTTCAAAGGAAATTTTACATAAAATTTTATTGGACAAGACAATACACACGAATAAAATTCACTACATATTATGCAACTTAAGTATTGTTATAAACAGCGTTCTACACTGTAACACGTGGGCTGTAAAAGCTGCTGAGACCAAATACTTGGCAATCACAGATATGTATAGAAGTACTCAATGACGGTAATATTACTTTGAGCTATAGATCTGTAAAAAAGACACATGTGGAAGTACAACACGATTACACGGAAATATAAAAGCTTGAATTCATCTGAAAAGCGACTTCATATCAGCTTTGAAAAATTGCTGTCTGACTGAGCAACTTGAGCAGTTAAATCAGTAAAAAAATAATGTATATATAAATAGTTTATATGAAAATTTGTAAAACTTTCCTGCACTTAAAATACTGCACATAATTCTCCAAATTGGCTTGAAAATTTGCCAGTGCCCGGCAAATCGTGCAAAAATGAACAGAAATGGCAAAACTTTGCTTTGAGTGTTACAGTTCTTGTGTGCTCATTCTAGCAACAATAATGTTTAGAAAGGAACTTAATGAGATACCAACTATTCTTATAATGTTTTTAAAAACTTTGATTTTATATAAATAATTTTATAAAATAATAAAAATTAATTTAAATGCTTTAAAAATATCATAAAAGCTTTGCTCATCCAATGAAAATTGGACAGTGTCAGTAGATGTAATATGTGTTAACTAATAACCGCAATAAAATACGACAAATAAAAATAAGTGAGATATGAAATACTACTGAGTTTTATAAGTAAAAATATTTTAAAATAAAATTTTTATATAACGTTCATAAATACACTAAAACGATTCTGAGCATTTATATAAATTCTTAAATAACTTGCAAATATTGTTTCAAAATTGTATTAAAAGTGTTGGTGGTTGTATGCATTCGCAATTTGATTTCTTTTGTTTGTTTTGCAAACTTTGTTTGCAAGTTTGGCTTTAAACTGTTTTCAGCACTGAGTTAAAAGGAGCATCTCCAAAGTTAAATTGCGTATAATGGCAAGAGCTTCTGAACTATTGCATTAACTAAAACCATACAAATAGAAAGTCAATGTTATGAGCTTTTAGACTCATAGAGTATTCTGAGTGAAATTAAACGCAGGTACTTCAAAATTTGTTCTTATATATACAGAGGCACAAAAAAGTATGAATGAATAATAACAATGAGATACTAAGATGTATTATGGAACAGCACATTAGAATAAAATGGCAGTTTAGAGATCATTCGAAGAAAATTAAAGTATTATAAATAGCCACATCTCATTACATTAAGTCCTTATACCGAAAGGTACAGTTTCCCCCCTTAACTGGAAGAATTATATCATCGGCGGTTTAACTGCATGAATTACAACACATTTTATTGGTTCTGAATTGGAATTATAGAAACCTGACAAATACTCGGAACCCTTTTTGAGTCCATGTTGCATTTAAAGATTTGCAGATCTTTTTCAGATTATTGTTTACTTTAGTCAACAGTTACCATTACTCTAGTTCTTCAACTTCAGCGCAAATATAACTCTCTACCCAAGTCTACATATTATTATATAAGGGAAGTAAATTCAGAGTTTATCTTCTCTACATATAATAAAAGAAAGAGTCTGTGTGTTTTTCGTTCGTACTGCGCGTAAGCTAATAGACCCTGGGCTACAAAATTTCGTATATAGGTGCATCTAGACAAGAGCCAGTGCACCTCGAAGAGATTTTTTTTCAAAATTCAAATCAGATTTTTTAAATTTTATCTTGTCAATTTTATCGCATCATTTTGAATAGTTTCATTCTTTTAGAAATGTGGTTTTGGGCAACAGTTTTTCATTCAATGCTTTGTATACTGGACTGCTGACTGTTGAAAATATGAGATAAAATGTTGCTTTTTTTTTTCTTTTGATTTTTGGACACGCAACACGAACATCGCAATCTTCTTAATCTGACGCACATGTGTGCAGAACAGAAAAGGCAGAACAGAAATGAATTTCCTTTTCTTTCTCTCTCTCTCTCTTTATTAGTTAATGGCAAAGAGGTTTGTATATTTTGAATTATGTCATCCACAATGCACAATTTTGATTGGTTATTGCTTTCTGATGATAGTTTAATTATTTTAGAAATGCAGTTTTGGCAACAGTTTTTCATTCATTGCCTTGGATACTGGACTGCTGTTTTCTCTTGAAAATAGGAGATTTATTGCATATTTCATTGTAATATTTTAATTTTATGTTTCAATTATATATAATTTTAATTATATTAAACATTTTGCATGATTTTTGTTAGGAAACAAAGTTCTTAACTTCCTTTATACCGTTTGAATTCTTAAGATTTTGCAACAGGAAGTTGGTTAATTTTATTTATTAGGATGATTAATATTTGTATTAAAGGATATTTCTTATTTCATTGTAATTTTTTATATATGTAATACATTCTTATTGAACTTTGTGTCATATATATATATATTTGTTCTGCAGAGTAAAAATTCTGTGCAGTTTTTTAATTTAATGTTTGGTGTTCCCTTTAGGCACTTTCCCGGTACATTTAAAAGCTAGACGAATGCTGGCCGAGTAGCGGCTAGTAAAAATATAAATAAATAATTAAATTTTGACTGAAATTACCTTCAAAGGCATTATTTTCTTTCTGTAAATGTTTTTAAGAAATGCATTTTTGAAAAGAATTCCAAATAAGTTTCTGTGAGAAATATTTTATACCCACCTCTGAGCGAAAGCTCTTGATAAGCCAATGTTTTCAGTGATAAGCTGCATAAATATAAACGCAGAGATATAGGCAAATTGAAAATATGAGAAGAAACACATACATCCACTCTATTTGTACAAAATGTGCGCAATTAATCAGTCATGTATGTCATTATTGGAAGAAGGTTATATAACTCCATCCTACAGAAGTAATATTTTTGCCTTCGCCTCTGTGCAAACCAAATATTTTTCAGTCAGGAAAAACTTATATCAGTGTCATGCGATTTCATAGTTTTCCTGAATTTATGATTTATAAGTTTAATTTTTTTAAAAAGATAGAACTCATTTTGGCTGTTTGACGGTGAATTTTCGATATTTATTTTAATGCTATTTCCATAATAATGACATATGTATTCATAAAAACCTGACGTTATGTCGGTATCTCTTTGTATTCAGTACTAAAAGAAAATGCGTATAAATAATTATTCCTTAAATATCGCTCCCTAGAACATCTAACGCTTTCTACGCCTTTGTATACGATCGTATACCTGCACACTAGTGTGTCAGCTATTGGGAATTTAATAAGACTGTACTTCCTTCTCTAACAGTGATATTAATGTGATCACGTCTTTCACCGGTCGTTTTCATTTAGAAAACTATTGATACACAATTGAAAATTAGTTCCTGAATCTGTCAGTCAGAAAAATTCGCTGTAGAGATTGGCCGCGTGATGTTGCCTCAGACGTCGGTCCACTGCAAACACAATCACTTATTTGCCGGTGATAGCAATGTAAGATCTCTCCGGAAATATCCAAGACAAATCAGGCCAGCCTGCAGTGCCTTCCTCGAGGCTGAGAAGTTCCAGAAAATTTCTACAAGCAATAGCTGTTCAAGCATTTTCTCTTGCTACAGAAGGAAGAATCAAGATAGCTTGCCATGTTTGTTGAATGTTTACATCCGTTCCACGAATGGCATCTTCGTAGGAAGGTGGAGGACCACAATCAGGATTCCACTGCAAGAAGAAGGTGATTTTATGCAGCATAATATATAAAACACTTACTTAAATACGCTTACTTAAATGCAATTTCAAATTTTTTCTTCTAATACTAGCATTAAAGTGGTCCCTACACTGCCATGTGGCTTGCAGTCTCCAGCACAGGAATTTGAATAAAATAATATCTCGTAAATTATTCTTACGTCGGATGTTTTTATGATAGATATTCAAAATTGAGTCCCCATTCTGCGACAAAGCGAACAGACTGGTGGTCACTTAATTGAGAATGTTGGATAACTTCACTACTAACTGATTAAAGTGGGTTTACAGAATGAAAACCACTTATGAACTCAAAGTCCTGTAAAACAGACATAGAAATCAATAGATAATATTTATTTTTTTCTATGCATATAACCCTATAATTATTTCATTAAAAATAGAGATAAATCCACTACAACCATAGTGTTGTTATATATATATACTCTATTGCGCTCTCGTAAAAACAAATGTATCATAATGGATATTGAAAAAAGTGATAAAATTCGACGAATAGCTTCGGAGAAAGGATCATCATCAGGGTTGCCTATCCAAGAAATTGTGACTCGCTTAAAAATAAAATAGTTGATTCTTATATCTTGAATGAAACACGAAACATAATAATTACAATAACAGCTAATAGATATGATATCAAACGTATACATTTATTATTATTGTCATTATTACGTTGTTATTAAAATCGGACTTTTCTGATATAATATGCCAATTTTTCCCACATTTCGTTTCTACGACTCAAATTACGCCTAAATATTAAATTTCAGAAAATTTGGTGCGAAGTTTATTGAGAAATTTAAAAAATTTTCTTGATGGATTTTTTTCAGTTTGTGACAAGAATAATTCACTTGGCGAACTTCTTAATTTATAGCAATTTATTTTCTTTTCCTTTTTATTCACTAATGCACGAGCGGTAAAAAGATTCATTGTTCATTTTTCAAATAACTTTAAAAAAGTGCGTAAATACATTTTCGTTATTATTGCTTATAATAAATACTCCAAATTTCTGAAGCTCCAATATATAAATTCACGTATATATTGGGAAATTTTGTATAAAAAAACTCTAGGTTTAGCCTTACTTTACCCTTAAAGAGTGTAAATTTTTTCGAAAAATTTATAAAAAATATTAAAAAATACAAATTTTAAGAATAAATCATAAAAAAATGTGCGAATTATATTTAGATTAAGCCTAAATTTCGAATTCTGGAAGCAGGAATCAAGTAAGTTTAATAAAAAAGAGATATGAATAGATATATATCAAATTTAATTTAAATTGAGAAGCTAAAATTTTGAGAGCTAATTTTTTAAAAACTACTCGTGCGATTTTTGCAAAACTTGGCAGTCTGAATCGTAGAATCGAAATATGGAAAAAAATTGGCATCTCATTTCAGAAAAAGTTTGATTTTGTGTAAAAATGCCTATATTAGAACAATGCTATATATAAATCTAATACATATCCTAAGTCGCGCTTTTGAGACTTGAAAAACACAAGCTGAATTTCGTCAATCGACACAGTAGAACGGGAGAAATAGAACTGTCCCCCCCCACAGTGTACAGTTCTACAATTTACCTACAATTTCTATATTTTACCTACAATTTCTCCCGAATTTCCTTGAAATAAGAAAGGAATTGGCAATATGAATTCAGTAGCATTAGAATAACTAAATAAACTTATCCTTTATTCTCCACGCAATAAAACGTCAATTGCTCAAAGCTCTGTTATTCGGAACTTCAGGTACCTGAATCCTTTGTTGTTCAATTTAGCCAAGTAATATTCAGTTTAATTTCGTTCTGGATCTGTTACGCCGACGGCACTTACAACGTTTTAGCGGAAATAACGAAAATTTAATAAAGATTTTATCTGTTATGAGTTTGATTGATCCAGTTATTCAGTTCGCTTTTGAAATTGAATCAGACAGTTTCCTTTCTTTCCTTGACATTCTTTTAGTTTTTGACAAAAACATTTATTTCTGCACCAGGTTGACCGAACCTCCTTTTTCAGTCTACTTGCTTATCTTATCATATGAAATCTTATCACTCTGGTGGATTTCCTTAACTGTATTTGTTGAAATAAAATAAGATTGATAAAAATACTATCCATTTATTTGTATTGTAAGGTTTTCCCGAAGTTTTTAACAGTTATCTTTAGTTAAAGTTACTTTCCTGTCCCTTCTAATTTCAGCTTACAATTTCCTGCCACAGTGTGTTTTTGTAATCGTGGTTAATGCAAATGAAGGAAGAGCGGTACGTAAGTCGAAGTTCCACTGACTTCGTTAGAGAGCCCAAGATTCTGACTAGCGCGCGTTTGCCTTTTGGCTACACTCTCTCTAAGCTATTACTACGCGAGGCCTTATTTCAGGCCCTTGATAGCTTCGCCGTTTAGTTAAAATTTAGGGGCCTTTAGAATTTTGATAGCTTCGGCTATATCCTTTTAGCTAAAAATTAGTTAAGTTTGATTTCTTAGTACTCTTGAGTTCAAGCCCAAGTGGAGGCTTTTCTGTACGCTCTAAGACAGGAGCCAACTGTAAATTCTTATTTTGAGAAATAAAGCGTAATTAACCCTTCTTGAGTTTCCTGCGCTAAAGCGATTATTCGCTTACCAGTTCTCGAGGTTCCACACACATAGATGTAAGAGAAGAGGTTGGAACCTCATAGCATTATTGCCTACCAGAAAAAAAATACCACTTAATTGGATTTGCAGATTATCTGGGTTGGCTAATAAATGTAGTTTATTTGGATAATTAGAGTTCTACTGAGCTATGTAAATACTCATGTAATTATCGTGGATTCTTCATTTTCAGTGTAACGCAGTATTTGGGTTAAATTTCGACCCCACCATCAACGTTATATAAACACTGTATACAGAATAGATCAGTATTATGGCTACACGTTTACCCGCATTTTGAGAAGATAGTGTTATGAATATGATAGTGTTATGACATAATATCATCGCATAGTGAATTCTTGAAATTGAACTCAAATTATTTTTACCGTGGGCTGTTAGTGTTTCTACAATCATTACGGTTGATCTTGCATCACTCCTACCGAGAATTCTTCTAGGAGGTTTTCTTTTCTGGATGTCTCCCGTTGTATGTTCATAGCCACTTTCCCCACTTTTCCTTAGTTAAGGAAAGGGTGCTAAGTTAAAACCACACTTTTTTAGTCTCGTGATCTTGCAATCATTCTTGTATGCAGTCGCCCATGCTCCATTTGTAACTTGCTGCTCCATGTTCAGCACCATCTCGGTAACGCCTTCTTCTATACAATAATGAGTATCCCATCACATTTATTTCTACTGTTTAGCCATATTTCTGGCTCAGCCTCTATGTTTAAAAGCCTTTGTAGATTCACAAACTGTTTTTTAAAAAAAACTCTGTAATTACGTAGATTTTAATTTCTAGTGTACAAAGTATCAATATTTTAATTTATAATTTTCATTTATAATAATGACTGACTACTGACAAAAGACTCGTAAGAATACATTCAAAGAAAATAAATACTGACTTTTCTTCTAATAACGGCTAAATTTTACTTACGTTTCCGTCGGTGGATTCACAATAAGGAGGAGGGCTTTCGCACTTTAAAGGGGTCTGGGTTTGCCCTCCAGGACGCAGCACTACTTCTGGTTCAAGGGGCGCTGACGGAAGTGCTACTGGAACTTCCTCAAGAGTGATAGAAACTGTGCGAGTAGTGGAAGGAACAGCTTCAGGTGGATTATCAGGATTATTATCTACATCCTCATTATTGTTCATGTTGTCCACGGTTGAGTCTCGTTCTGTCGGTATACGTTGAGCTTCTGACGGCTGGGGCTCTTTCTTGCGGCACTTACCGCCATGAAAGCAGTTCCTAAATTTGAAGAAAATAATTGCTTAGGATCTTAAGAGAATTGCGCAGTTATTCTGCAGGTATTCTTGATCTTTACAAGAAATTTTTTCCATTATCGTTTTCAAAAATTCAACAAATCAAAATGTTGTTTTAAAACTTCTCATGCTTGTAATATCAGTAAAGGAATTTGAATCAAGTACCATGTTAGTGGACTAAATACACACAGATAGAAAATTTATTCCAACTGCTATTCCAGCTATACCACCAGCTGCTATACAACTGATCTTATTGCTCATGAAAGTTTTATATTTATTCCAATGAATCTGCCAATTAATTTTTTAGTCCAAAGGGATTTCAGTCCCGAAGGACTACTGCTTTCGTTTTGGCATTTTGCGTCGGACTCATAAACGTCGGTTCACTTTTCAAACTGTTGCCACAAAATGTTAGAGTCCTGCATTATATTTGAAGAAATTAAATAATGAAAATCTGCATAAATTGTATATTTCTCGCATTGTGATAAAACAATGGTACATAGAGCCATCGAATTTTGAATACGTAATCCTACTGCAAATGGGCATGTGAAAGCCCAAATTTGAATTTGTTTTATGATCGATATTTTGTAAAACTTTAACGAATTTTTAATTAAAAGACCCAGGGATTTCCAAAGCGAGCAGTGGCAACTTTGTACAGAAAAAACACTTTTATCTCCAGCGAGCGAGACTCTGTATCGGAAATTCTAAGCATAGGCTCAGTTTAAAATTATTTTGCGATATTGCTCTTAATTAAGCAACAATCTTAAGCTGAATTTTATGGTTTAAGTGCGAAGAACATGGTATTTAATAAATGTAACATAAAACGTTAAAAAACACCCCTTTGGACGTAATTTAAAATCTGAAAAATTTTTTTTTTTTTTTTTTTTTAGTCCAAAGGGATTTGAATCCCGAAGGACTATTAGTTTCGTTTTGGCATTTGCGTCGGACGGATAAATGTCGGTTCATTTTCAAAAGTTGCCACAAAATGTTAGAGTCCGCATTATATTTGAAGAAATTAAATAATGAAAAATCTGCATAAATGTATGTATATTTCTCGTATTGTGATAAAACAACGGTACATAGAACATCGAATTTTGAATACGTAATCCTCCAAGAATATGAGCATCTGGAAGACCCAAATTTGAAATTTGAATTTGTTTTATGATCGATTTCATATTTTTAAAACTTTACGAATTTTTGATTAACAAACTCAAATTTCAAAGCGAGCAATGGCAACGTTGTGCAGAAAAACATTTTTATCTCCAGCGCGTGAGTCTCTGTATCGAAATTCTAAAGAATGCTCGTTTTAAAACTATTTTGCGATATTGCTGTTGAATTTTATGGTTTAAGTGTGAAGAACAAGATATTTAATAAATAAAGGTACACAAAATGTTAAATAAAACGCCTCTTTGGACGTAATTTAAAATCTGAAACTTTCAGATTTTATTTATTATTTATTTACTTTTTATTTTTTTATTTTGTTTATTTATTTTTTTTTTTTTGCTTCTTTTAAAAAGCTGATGTGTTTCCTCCTTCAATAAACTTATGCTGTGCTCTTTACCGAATCATGTTAGGAAATCTTTATCTTGTAGAATTATGGAAAATTATGATGTTTCCCTCTTAACTCACTTGATGAGAAAAAATAATAAAATCGTATATTATATATATATATATATATATATTTCTTACTCTTTTAACTCAGTTTGCATATTGAAAACGTGCAAGACTAATTTATACTATCGACTTTACCTGCATAAGAGCGTTTCCGGAACCCACTTTTTTACAGCATAGTATTTTAATGAATTAGATTAATGAATGAATGCTATTAAGTAAATTATAAATTAATCCGTCTTTTTAATAATATTATAATAATATAACACACTATGTAAGATTGTACGGAACCTAACTATGTTTCATGCTAATTTCTGAATCTGCAGAGACTATCAGGTGACTTATCTCTCCTCGTATTAAACTCTCAGTAATGTAACTTAGAAGAAGGTTTAAACTAAAATATTTAATCAGTTCATCAGCTTAACACTTACACAGTATATTCAATAACAGCAGTCTAACTTCAAAGCATATGGGAATAACAGAAACAAAGTTTAAGGTAAAATTTAAAGGATTAAGACAAAATGTGCCCACAAGTTTTGGCTCAGACCCTCAACTGACGAGAGCACTTGCGGTTAGCAAAATTAAAGCTGATTTTAAATAATTCAGATGCTGGAAGAAATAGTATA